CCATACATAACCTTGATTTGTGGTATTCATGTGCAAGGCCATGTGTTCCAGTGCCCAGAAATTTTGAGCACCGGGTTCTTTTCTTGGCTGCCTCTGAGTGCCGTTGAGCAAATGACTTCAACATCCCTGTTACAGGAAACAGAGATAATCCCACAAGCTATCTACCTCCCCCTTGACTCACAGCTCCTGGCTCCCCAGGGAATGTGATATGGATCAGAGCCAGGTCCTATGAAAATGAAAATTACCCTATAGATGACTATTATATAATGTGATTAATCCCCCTAACCTCTTCCCCAGAGCAGGTAAAGCCCCAAACTTTAGCACTTAACTTTCTTCTCTTAACATAATCCCTTGAAAATCGAAAGTAAGATTTCATGACTACAGACTCACTTAATTTTTCCTGGTTTAAACCCAACTTTGATATCTTTTAAAAAGTTCTTTCTTGCTAACTCAATCAAAACTACACAATACTTTAGGTATGCATACTATAAAAAAATCTTGTGAATTTTCTATTTAACTTGTATAGACTAAAAGTAATGACCTAGTTGAAAGAGTGATTTAGTTTATGAATGGCAAAGGTTCAGATCTCCTGAGTCTCAAAATACAGAAATAAAAATATCAGAATATCAAGCATTTTTTGAAAATGAATGGAGATTTGTACTACCAGCGAGATTTGCACTATGTTGCTTCCTTTTATGTAACATGGCAAGCTGATTCTAAAATTTATTTAAATTTAAAAATGATCTAATTGTAAATTATCTTTTGGTAATAATTACAAAAAGCAAAAAGAAACAAGAAAATAAGTTGCTCTGTTTCTCTTTCCAAATAAATAAATTTTAAAATGCAAAGGCCCCAAAACAGTCAAGCGACTCCCAAACAGGATGACAGGCTTTACACCAGCCTTATCATAAAGCTATCACAAATAAAGTGGCATAATATTAGCACAAACACATTAATGGACTGGAGAAACGGAGAGGACCCAGAGAGGATCACAGAAATACACTCTATGCATGGCATAGACTGGTGCTTACTGCATGGCAGAATGACACTGCACAGCACCAGATCAGTGGCTACCCAGAAGGACCCTTCCTCACAGTCACAGGTACCTCCCACAGGAAGTCAAACATAACATAGGAAGAAAGGCAAAATTAAAAAGCATTATTTAAACGAAAAGATTTTTCATGACTTCAGGGTAGGAAAACATTCCTTAAAAAAAGATACAAAGGACACTAAACATAAAAGATGAATATATTTGTCATTAAAATGAAGAGTTTTTATTCATCAAAAAACCATGAAGAGAATAAAAAATAATCAGGGGAGAGGATATTTACAAACTCATAACCATTAGTATGAAGAATGTATACAAATCATGGAGTAGGATGGCTGACACACACACAACAGAGACAGGTTTTGAATGGGCACTTTTCAAAAGAAGAAATCCAGTGACCAGTAAACATATGGAAGATGCTCCAAGGCTGTTTCTAATTAGAGAAATGCAAAATAAAAGCACAGTGAATGTCTCTATAAAAACATCACACGCTAAAATTAAAGTCTGGCAACATCAAGTGTTGAACTGGAACTCTCATACACAGTGAGGGATGAGGGGAAGGATATTAAATGTTAAAGATATACCTATCTCATAATCCAGCCGTTAAACTCATAGGTAAATGCCCTACAGAAATGTTTAGGTACACAAACATGCTCCTTGCAGCATTGCTTGTAATAGCCCTGAACTGAAAACATCATAGAGGTGCCCATCTCAGTAAAATAAAGTGGTACTAATGAAATGGCTTATCACACAGTAATGAAAATGAGTAAATCACACTGACACACAATTGTGTAAGTGTTGGGTGAAGGCACTGGACACAACATACAGTGTGATTCCAGTTTTTTAAGTCGAAAGTAGGAAAAACAAGCAATATTGTTGTACACATAAACTGTTTTTTTAAGAGAGAAGAAAGAAGTATTGCCATAAAGCCAGGCTAGCCGTTTCCTCGGGGGACAGAGGGGAGGCTGGAAGGAACACACAGGGAGATTTTGGAGTGTGGGCAGTGGCTGTTGTGCCTCTGGTTTGTGATTACATCGCTGTTTGCTTCATCTATTAAACTGCACACCTGTTTTATGTACTTTTTGTATATTTCACAAAATTTAAAAGAATGAGGGAGAACTCATAATACCAAACATACCACTGACTAGAACCATACTTATTTAAATGGTGTGGAAAAACTAGAAGGCCCAAGTCCAAGACACAAAGGATACACAGGAATGTAATATTCTATACCAGTACAGTGCAGATTTTTAAAAAACTAAATCTCACCTCATACAATATTCCCAAAGTTGAGATCGATTAGAAATTTCCTTCTGAATTAAAGGTAAGTATAAAAGTGAAATTGTTTAGTACTAAAAGGAAATTAGGATATATCTGTACGCATCCTTGGGGTAGGGAAAGCATGCCCTAGCACACCTGCATGGGCTTCCCAGGTGGCACGAGTGGTAAAGAATCCACCCACCAACACAAGAGACATGAGACTCAGGTCCGATCTCTGGGACAAAACGGACATCTTAATTCATAAAGTAGCTTATAAACCAATAAAATTGGCAAACTTGCCAAGAGAATATATAGGATATGAATAAGCAGTGCTCAAAACAGTGAATGAAAATGGTCAATAAACAGGACAAGACTCTCAAATCTTCATTTATAATCAAGGAAACACATTTTAAAGGAAGCCCTTTTCTGTAATGATTGGCAAATATTTTGAATAGCAACTTGCAATTCTGGAAGTTTAATATATTGCTAGTGGGAACATTAAGGAAAACAGCTTTTGTGGGGAGTGATGGATATCAAGTCTCAAAAATTTACTTTCACCTAGCAATTCCTTCTAGAAAGGTACCATTTGGAAATAAGTCACTTTTTTACAAATGTGACATATGATATTGATTGTATCATTTTAATTTGCATTATAATGAACATTGTGAAACAAATTGTTAAAAGTTATGGCACACCCATAAAATGGAATATTCTACAGCTTGTGAGTATTTAGTATGTGGAAATGTTTACAGTATACAGAGCAGACTTAACCAATGTACGACTGCATTATTGAAAATATAAATGTGTAGCTATGCATAGAAAAGTACGTGTATGTCTTTGTACCCAAATGTTAAACAGAGCCCTTCTCTGCATGGTAGAATTACAGGGGATTGCCATGTATGTGCATGGGAACCCTCCCATGCTCAGGTTTTCCAGGAATAACTTTTATTTATTCTGGTGACTCAAGACGGTAAAGAAACTGCCTGCTATGCAGGAGACCTGGGTTCAATCCCTGGGTTGGAAATATCCCCTGGAGAAGGAAATGGCAACCCTCACCAGTATTCTTGCCTGGAAAATTTCATGGACAGAGGAGCCTGGCGGGCTACAGTCCTCGAGGTCACAAAGAGTCAGACATAACTGAATGACTATTTTAATAAAGAAGGAGCATCAAATAACTTTAGGATGTGAAATCATTTATAATTAGTTTTAAAAACTAAAAATAATGAAACTGTGCAGGATATTCCTACATTTGCTTTTTGAAGGGAGGAAAGCAAAAGTGTGATAAAGCAGTGGTTACTCCTGAAAGGACATGACACAGAACTCAGTCCTTCCTACCACACCTACATCTGCCTAAATGTATTCTAATTCAAATTTCATATATGAAAAGCCTCCTTCAAAGTTAAGTTACATTTAATTAGGCAGCAGTAAAACATCACCATTAGCATGTTCAGGTTGCTCTAATTAATATTTTATTCTTTCAACACTGCCTAAAGGCACCAACATGTTAGACAAAACTTTGATAACGTGTTAATTTATCTGGAGACAACCATATAATTCTTTGAAATTATACATGAAATTGAGGTTTCTGCAGCCTACATAAGTCTCTCGGTGGGGCGGGGCGGGGGGGGGGAAGCAATATATATTGATAACAAACCAATTGTAACTTCAGAAATTTTTTTGGTTCTCTTACCAAACTGAACCTATCATCTGCTAGAACAATGAAGTCAAGTCAGGCCAAGCCTAACAACAGATAGGGCTTCTCCAGTAGCTCAGCAGTAAAGAATCTGCTTGCAATGCAGGAGATGCAGGAGCCATGGGTTCAATCCCTGGATCAGAAGGATCCCCTCAAGAAGTAAATGGCAACCCACTCCAGTAATCTTGCCTGGAAAATCCCATGGGCAGAGGATCCTGGCAGGCTACAGTCAATGGGGTCGCAAAAAGTTGGACACAACTGAGCAACTAAACCACCACCAACAGCTATTCCCTTCACAAACATCAATCACCTTAAGACGTTCCTGTTCCTCATGTTACTCCATGACCAGGCAAATCTGGTCATCCAGAAAGACCACCCACCCTCTAGAATTAACTAAAAGTACCGCATATTCCTTATGAGAAGAAAGAAAACATATTTCCTAAGGGAAAACAGAAAGAAACAAATATTTAAGCATTTTCTATGAGTGTCTTCCTTGGTATTTAACGTCCAATACTGTAATAGCCCCCATGCAAACATGCACAAAATTCTCTAGACTTCTCCCTTTGTTATTCAAAAAAAGAGGGAATTATATCTTCATAATTCATTTTAGGTGATGCCTGAGATAACTAAATAATTAACTAAGACATGTAATAAACGTTATTTGGTAGAGGTAAGTATAAAGAAAAAAGCAGTTTAATCACCTGCTTTCATTTGGCTTAGAGAAAAAAAATGTGCTTACGATATACTAAAATATCAGACCAACACAGGACATACTGCCAAAATTTAATATAGTGTCATTAAACACAATATTCAACTTTTCAAGCACATGAAAGTTGTCATCTGAAAGTGGGCTATTTTTATCATTTCCTTAGTGTGACTTTACAAAATTCTTTCTCTCAACAATGTCTGACACTGATCTTGATACTTGTTAGGCAGTCTGATGTAAGATAATGAGATCTCAACAGGCAGAGATTTAGGAGATGATCTGAATGCCCATCTTCAGAATTCATCCTCGGAGGACTGATCATCATCTTCATCCCTTACTTCTCGGTATTTCCTTGAAGACTCCCCTTCTGGATTATAGCTCTGCATTTTAATATTTAGTCTTTCAGCTAGCTTCTGTGCTGCGAGCTTGGCTTGTATCTCCTTTAAGACAAAAAATGAAGCAAAAAGTTAGACACTCATACCTTTTCCCTATAGTTTTTCAATGGGAAGTCACTGGAACAGAACCGGTTTCACTGGAATGGCATGCCCCTGTATTTCTGGGTTCTCTACCGCCCTCTGAGAGAATGAGGCACAGACATCACAGGGCGGGCTGGAGAGAGCCAGCAGCCTGCCACAGCGGTGGTGACAGACTTCCACTGATTTAGACAATGTGCACTGAAATATCCAACTTCTATGAGAGCAGCTGAAGAACCAGCTTGGCACTGCAATAGTTATACACAGGAAAATGTTTTCAAGCATGTGGGCATGTGCATGTGTATAGACAACCCTGAAGAACAATTTGAGCCATCAAATGTCAAAAACCACCCACCAATTCTGTACTGACCCTCCAACTGGAAGTCGTCTTTCCTAGATTAGATCATGGCTTCTAGGCTCGAGAGTGACATTTCAATGCCATAATGAAAAATCAAAGAATACTAAAAACTGATTATCCCTCTCCAAATTAACTCCCATGAAAATTACTATGCAATAAAAAGCCTAAGTAAATCTTAAACAGTGGCGATGTGCTTGCAGACCCCCAGTGATGGTGTCATTGACTGACTGGCAAGCCGCAATGCTCATTCCTCATCTGGCTCCTCACTTTTCTCAGGATGCCCCCAAAACACTCGAACTCATTTAAGTTCCCCCTTCAGGCCATGGGTAGTACTGGTAGGTGGGACTGAAGTGGAATTATTACTGCTCTGCCAAGGAAACCAACTCCAAACTGAATGGCTTAACTCAACCTAAAAATAACTTCAGACAGGCATTTAGGGTCAAACAAGGTAAGAAACAATTCCTCAATGCTTAGTTACAACTAGGCAATAACTTGAATGGACTGAGAGGATGAAAACTGGCTTTTAAAAACGGGTGCCCTGAAAATCCATGCCAACCTAGCTTTTGTGAAAAAAGAAGGCCTATAGTAAATTCTGACTTATGTGAGCAGCATCCTACATGCAGACAGGAACAAGCCATGCTCTAAATACCTCGTAACTCTGCTTCTGCTGTCTCTGCAGAGCCAGCGACTCCTCTATGGAGAGCAGCTGTGTCGGCAGGTGGTGCAGCGGCAGAAGCCGGGCTGCCGTGATGTCATCGAGATGCTGCTTGTCCCTGCGCCGCCTCTCCTCTGAGGAGACGGGAGACCCTCTCCTCTGACAAGCACTCCATGAATCATGCGGCTGTGAAGGTAATCTGGAGGAAGCAACCCTTATGTTACACCACCTTTTCACAGACACATTTGTAGCATTCAACAAAAGTGGCCTTTAACCTTGGCAGCTAACTGTTCTACACAGGTAACAGTAAGGTCTTTAGCACTATTTGCATGCATAGATAAAACATTCTTTTTAAATACATTTACCTCAAAAACAAATATTTAAGTTGGCACCTTTTTTGGCGAGTAATTTGACAATGCATTCCTCTAACAGATAGCTAGACTCATTGCCTTTCCCTTCTCTCTTCAAATACTGGAGTGGGTTGTCATTTCCTCCTCCAGGGGCTCTTCCCCACCCAGGGATTGAACCCTCATCTCCCACATCTCCTGCATTGGCAGGCAGATTCTTTACCACTGAGCCACCTGGGAAGCCCCCCAAAAGCTTATACTCGAGCCTATTCTCATTCAAAAACATCTGCAAAGAGGCTTCCTGTCTAGCAGAGGGAATTAAACTTGTAAAGTTTCAGTGTAATGTAATATCTCGCGTACTATGGCACAGGCCAGTGGAACACAGACAAGGGAGTGGCCTGTCGTAAGGAGAGACAGGATGGCTGGCAGAAACACTTCAAAAAGAGTGCAATCTGAGGAGTCTTGGAATAATAAGGATTCAGCGTGTAAATGATAGGATCTCTGATGGCACTTCCCCAGAGAATAAGGACTGAGGGGGCTGCAGCTCACAGGAAGCATGGGAGCTGGAGAGTGCAGAAAAGGCTGGGGCAGCAGGCTGGGTGAGGCCACATGGAAGACTTCTAGTCCACATAACAGGTTCAGGTTTATATTCTACAAACTGCACTCTGGCAGCAGTGGACAGCATGGACTGGTCGAGTTAAGACTGGGCCAGGACAGTAATGAGAACCTTCACTTTGACAGGAGAAAGGATGAACGTAAGGATGATTAGAGACGAAGGTCCAGGAAATACACTGTGAGGTCCCATGGCTGGCAGAGATGGAAAGGACGGGAAGAAGGAAGGTGGCAGCACTACTGGCTTAGGGAATATGGGACAAAGTAGTCTGGGAAGAAGTGAGTTCTACTTTGTACAGGACAAACCTTAGGTGCCCAGATCACCGCCATGTGGCCGGGTTTCATAGGTAACTGACTCTGCAAACCTGAAGTTATGGGTAGAGCAGGGCTAGAAGAGATGAGAGGCAGCCTCCCGCATCAGAAGAGTCAGAAAAGCATGCAAGAGGTGGCCAAGGGACACCTGCATCCCCCGCTACTTCCAACCGTCTACCTCCTGGCTCCCCAAAGCCCAGCCTCTTCTGATGAGTGCACCTGTTTCTATGGCTCACAAACTCCCCTTGGGAACCTTCACGGATATTCCCTTCCTCCCCTCCCACTTCCAGCTAAAGGACCACAATACAGAATCAGGGTCAGCGTATTCTCTGTTGTGTGTATTGACTAGATGATGCTTCTGGTTTTCTGCCTCCCTATAAGTGAGGAAAGATACCTCACCACATACAAGATGAGTAATTACCTAATCAAAGATTACTTTTTATTCCTAACTAAAAATTAATTCTGGTGTTCTATGCAGAACAAATAGTTTTGCAGTTTAAAAAAATGAATAGTGAGATACGATTGAACTTTAAAGTCTCTATAATAAAAAAAAAAAATCAGTTTAGCTACTTGTAACTACAAGCTTTCAGTTTTTCAAAGAAAAGCAGTGGTGGTTAAACTTTGTATCTGTTGTTGTTTAGTTGCTAAGTTGTGTCAGATGCTTTGCAGCCACATGGATGGTAGCCTCCCAGGCTCCTCTGTTCATGAGATTTCCCAGGCAAGAATACTGGAATGAGTTGCCATTTCCTTCTTTAAGAGGGGATCTTCCTGACCCAGGGACTGAACCTGCATCTCCTGCATTGGCAGGTGGATTCTTAGTCACCTGACTCACTCCTGAGTCACCAGGGAAACTCCTTGTATCTGATATTACTATTTTATAAAACTACTCCCTGATTTGAGTGTTATAACTGCACATAAGTAAATAATACTTTTTGAAGAGACTTTTTTCTGAAGATCTCAGAAACAAAACTATAACAAGGAACTTAGAAGTACAGTTCACTTGCCCCTCCTGCCCAAATTTGTTTTGCTTTTTTAACCCTTTCTCAGCTCCCTTCCTCCTGAAATGATTATATACTTTAATGTTCTTCCAAGTGTGTAAGCCTCGAGTCCTCATCTAGACCCTAAACTCTATGAGAAACAGAATCTTTACTCTCGTGTCGTCACAGCACCTACTGCTTACATACAGTGAGCACACAAATATTTTTTACTGAGAAAGGCCGTCAACTCCTACAGTTGTTTTCCTCTTAGCTTATAGTCTAGTTAGAGGAGGAGCTATATACAAGAATATGGTTCTGGAAAAAAATTATAATAAATTCTCTAATTCTATGTTTTATATAAAATTTTGCCTAAGTGTCCTGAAGTTTAATGCTCCATCTGCTACTGAAAACCTTTTCAATTACTTGGCTAAAAAAAGAAAGCATTTTGTAGCAGGAATCCTCCACTCCAGCCATATTAGTTTTACTGCTTCTACAATACGCTCATTCCCAAGTACAAGCAGTTCTCATACCAAGTCCACTGAACTTAAAGCAGTCTCCCAGTTTTTGGAATTTAACAAATATCATGCTCCTGTGACAAGTCTGTTTGTGATGGTACTTACACATTGGTTTTAAATTTATGTGGCGTGGGCATGGGATTTTTGGCTCGCATTTCCAGCACTTCCATGTAATGAGGCTTCTTCTGCGGCCCACTCCAGAGGCTGGCCAAGTTCTCAGGACTCTGGTTTCCTTCTGAGTGGTGTTCAGTGGGGTCCGCAATTGTGATCCTTCGTAATCTATCAATGAACAGGTTGTCTGAGCTGCCAGGATGATCCTCCACTTGACCTAAGGCACAATACTGAGGGAGACCCTCACTAGCTTCAGATAAGGAAGGCGCTGGGGTTCCGCTGCTAGAAGTTGGGTGCTCACTCACTGTGTGTTCAGCCTCAGTTGCCTCAACATCACCTCCGCGAGTCAGATGTGCCAATCCCTGTTGTCGTGAGTTTGTCTGAGATGATGTGATGTTAGCTACAGAGGAACAGCTAGGAAGGGGTGATGAAGTATCAAGTATCTGGTCAGAATTCTGGGCCTTATCTCTGTCCCCATCAACAACTTCAATCGCTTTTTGCCTCTCCTTACAGTGTAAGCTAACAGGATAAAAGAGTTCACTTCTTCCTCTAACTTCTTCACGTTCTGCAATAGCAGCTTTCAGTTTGGCGACAGCATCTGAGATCTTTTTACCTTTGTCGGGCAATTTGCAAATGAATTTTCTACAAAAGGAAAAGAGTAGGTATACGTTACATACAGCCATGTTTTTAAACTTGAGATATATACAAAGTAGTATTCTCAAAGGGAGAAAAATCAAACTTTAAGCCAAAAAACTGATTTCCAGCTGCCCCAAAACAGGGATGAAATAAGAGAATCATTATCCAAATACCCCTCAAAACAAGGGACGACAGGATGATTAGGGACTATGTCTCGTTTGTCTCATCTATTAACAATTAGAATTTCTACAAAAGTATTTTAAGCATGATATTAATATAAGACATCCCCCAAATCAGTTTTTAAAAGTGTGATTTCCAAGACCTTCCTGGTGAGGGGAGGTGGATGGATCTGCAAGGTCAGAACTGTTTTATAATAACTAAGGTACTATTTGTCATTTTCACTCACATTTTCTTGCCATGAGTACCGGGGAGTTTTCCAGAGGCCACATGATGTGGATGATAACATTGTTCTGATGGCTAATAGAAAGTGTGTGTTTTTGTATTCTTGTGTTTTAAAGATTCTCACTTGTAACTCCTAAGACAGTGATAACTATCAGTCGATACAACACACATACAACAAGAGCTCTTCAAGATGTTCAGAGTTAAGGTCATGAGACTAAAAAAGTTAACTCACTCATTCTCACAGTCAAAATAGTTGTCTCTACCAGGAAGTCCCCAAGTGATCATTTACCACTTTAGCTAAGTGGCAAAAGTTCCTTTTCTGATTTCCTTTTCTTTAGCCATACAGTAAATGTGGAGGGAAGGTTACAGCTCACACCCTCTATTCTTTATGACACTACATTCATTCTCCCAATTCTATTAACATTCCTCCCAGTTGAGATGTCTGTATTTTCCCAACATTCTCTTCTCTCTCCAGCCTCATGACCACTTCTCCAGCTTTTAATCATATGTAACTAACTTTTCCATTAACTCAGCTCCAGTAAGTAAAATCAATCTCAGACTATTACCCTCCTCCAGCTTTCCTACTTTTATTAATTGTGCTCCATACAGGTTGGAAACTTCAGCCACCTCTTGTCAACCATATAGTCAAATGATCCTAAGCCTGATCTAGTCTCCCCAATTCCACAGCTACCCTTCTAGTTCACTTTCTTACAATCCCCTTATTGGGGAACTTCTCTGAAAATACCTCCTAGTCTCTTCTGCCTCTTATTCCTTCAAACTATCCTGCACCAACCTGCTAAAATAAGCTTCCTAAAAAATCATTATTATTACACCGATCCTCTGCTAAAATCCATTAAGTCTAACAATTAAGTGTGAATCAAACTTACTTTGCCTAATAAGCCACTCTTTTACCCTACTCTTCCCATTTCCTACAGTTCCTGTAAAAAAATAATAATAAAAAGGATCTAGAGATGAAACTGACTAGGTGTTTGGGGCACTATTTGGGGGAAAGGCAGCGGAAGGATTTGGGATACAAACACTCCCCTTGGAGAGCCGACACAGGCACTGAGTAAATAAAATCAACGAGGAGCTGATGAGGAGCCGAAACGCTGGGGAGCCAGAAACACAGGCGCCTGGCGCCCGGCTGTACGCGGTGGCTCTGTGACTGTGGGCCGGCCACTAGCCCGCGAGCCTGGAACAGATCTAAGACAAGGTGACCTTCCAGCAATGAGATCGGGATGGGGGCGGGGAGGGGCGCGTCCCAGGGTGCCGAACCCGAGGAACCCTGCGGTGACTTCGCGGGACCCAAGCTTACACGTTGCGCAAAAGTCTCTCCTGGCGCTTCAACATTTCCCGTAGCTCCGCCAAACTCCGCTGCCCCAAGTCCTCGGGAGTTTGGGGCTCGAAGCCGCGGGGCAGCGAGGACATTCTGCGGGGGCTGAGGCTGGCGAGGCGGTGGGCACTCGGCGTCCTCGGCAGCCCCCGCAGCTGGCGCCAGATCCGCGGCCAGCGGGGACTCCGACGAACGAGCGGGAGTCGCCATTTTCCCGGAAGAACAGGTCGTCTTCTAGCCGAATCGAGCTTTATTGAAACGCCGGAAACAAACACGGACAGAGTTGAGGGAGTGGCAACAGGGGCAGGAATAGCGGGGTGACGTCACGCGCCGGCGGGGCGCTCTTTCTAGTCGCCTGTTCTTCACCTGTGCTTTGGGTCTCGGCTGAATATTCAGAAAAAGTGAGTACCTGGGGCCCTGCTCTTAAGGACTCTACTGAGTGCGGGCGGAGAGCAGACATTAATCAAGTAACAAATGGAAGAATTGTAAGACGGCTATGGGCACCAAGGAAGGAATAACCAAGAAGTGAAAGACACGTGGAAACATGAGTGATGAGTTGGTTAACCATTAGTGAAGTTGGGCTATGTACCCGGCACGTGAAGCCCTGGCCTATGGCGTGGCCTTCCTAGTTCTGGGTTTAGTGAAGACCTCAAACATTAATGTTGGAAGGATCATTCAGAACCATCAGCGTTTCTTAAGGCGACTCTGTAGCATTTGAAGCAAGACTTTTACCCGTTTGCAGGACTGCCTCAGGTATTGCAAGATATTTGGCGTCTATTTGATGATGTCTGGGTTTCTGCCCTGTAGTTGGTTTGGCATTCCTGAATCCTCCTAACAATACAAAACGCACCCCCTGCCCCAGCACACACACTCACACACACACGATTTCAAAGGCCCACACAGGTGGTGATAGTGAGAGGTGCTGCGCAAGCCAATGGAGAACCTCTCTTTCACAAGTACCCGTTTTGCCCTTAGAAAAACAAAGGCACAAAAACTGAAGTTTTCCCAGGGCGCAAAACTAGTAACTGAGAACATCAGGTTTTAGACACAAATGCCCAGGTGGTTTTTCTGCCACCCCAATTCAAAAATCTTCCAAAGAGTAAGAAAGTTTTTTAGGCTGTTGAGGAAAGTGGTGTAACTGCTAACTCTTCAGTGTAACACCTAACTCTGCTCTATAGTTCAGGTAAGAGAGCTGGATCCCAAAGAAAAAAGTGGAAGCATGCTCTAGTCATAACAGACATCAGTTGTGAGGTTTGGAAGACCCTATAACCTCCAACCCCAGTCTCCCCCTTTGATACGGAAAATTTACATTTGCGAGTCCTTTGTTAGGTGCTGTAACAGTTTCCTCCCAATCAGACGGAAGCTCTAGATAAAATATGAGGCTACTTCAGGAGTTATAGCTGAAACTGTGTCTGTATCCTTGCAATCTAGTCCATTCTGATCAGTTTAGCGTATCCAAAGTCTCAACATAAACTCTGCTTTGAAACAAGCATTTCAGTAACCTGCTTCATATCTTTCTAAATGAGAAATACTTAAGTAAGGCCCTTGTCAGGTATCTGTTCTGTGGCAAGCTCCCCCAAGGCCTTCCTCACTCTAGCCTCTCCCTCTGTTCCTGGACCTGACCTGAAGGCCTTTATTCCCTCTCCACCTCCTCACCCATATGCCCCCGACCCCGCTGATAGTAAACCCTTTCTTCCTACCTGGGCCACAGGCACCCTCCAAGCAAGGATGCTTTCTCTCAAGACTCAGAATTTTGCCCCCAGCTGTTTTCCTTTTGTGGAAGGCTGTCCATTTTCCCCTAGCCCATTATACATCTTAGTTAAGTCTCGCCTCCTCCCTGAGCCTTTCTAGATTTTTCCAACCCAAATTGCTCTCTGAGCATAACTGTAGTGCTTAGAACATACCGTGCGTCTCCTGGTGTGTGTGCATGGTGATTTCTAACAAACTGTGAAGTCAGGGAACTCTATCAAGGAGCTGTATTTGTGCTTTTCTGTCTCCCCTGCGGCAGGTAGTAGATACTAATTGATAGAATCTCCCTCTCTCATAATTTTTTCCCTGTCTTTCCCTCATATTCACCTTCTTCATTAAATACCCTTCTATATTAAAGATCTTAAACTTTTAATACAAATGTTGACCATAATTTTCGTGAAAATATTCTCAGTGGTATGGGATAGAACCTGTTACACAACATAGTTTAGGATTTCAAGTTACTATAATACAAGTCTGAATTCCTCACAATGGGTGCGCCAACTATCTAGTTCTCTAATCGGTAACCAAGAGGCTTAGCAAGTAAAGAGATTTTTTTTTAAATTTTATTTATTTATTTTTGGCTGTGCTGGGTCTTTGCTGTTCATTCTTTTCTGTAGTTGCTGCGAGCAGGGGCTGCTCTCTAGTTGCAGTGTGTGGGCTTCTCATCGTAGCGGCTCCTCTTGTTGCCACACATGGGCTCTCGGGCTCGCAGAGTTCAGTAATTGTGACACGTGGGCTCAGCAGCTGTGGTTCTAGAGCCCAGGCTCAAAAGTTGTGGTACGTGGACTTAGTTGCTCCACAGCATACGGGATCTTCCCAGATCAGGAATCAAACCCGTGTTTCCTGCATGGGCATGAGTCATCAGGGAAGCCCCACAAGTGAATAAATTTGTCAAACATTATTCTGCATGTTTCAGTGAAGTTATTTTTTGGTTGAGATTAACATTCAAATCATTGGACTTTGAGTACATCCAATCACCCCCTAAAATGTGCGTGGGCCTCATCAATCAGCTGAAGCCCTTTAGAGAACAAAGATTGGCCACACCCCACCCCCCTACCCCACAGGAATTTTGCCAGCAGACAGCCTCCAGACTTGAATTCTAAGTTCCTGGCTCTCTAACTTGATGGTCTGCACTGCAGTGATAATTACCTGAGCCAGTTCCTTAAAATGAATCTCTCTCTGATAATGGCTGATACACAAATACACACACCCTACTGGATCTTTTTCTCTGATGACCCCTAACTAATGTTGTGCAGTTGCTAAATCGTGTCTGACTCTGCAACCCCCGTGGACTGCAGCACGCCAGGCTTCCCTGTCTTTCGCTGTCTCCCAGATTTTGCTCAGATTCGTCTCCATTGAGTTGGTAATGCTATCTATTTCATCCTCTGCCACCCTCTTCTTTTGCCTTCAGTCTTGACCCCTGACTAATACAAAGCCTGAGCCACCAGGGAAGTCCCTTGATGGGTCAGTCTTGCTGGCTGCCTCATCTGTCTGTCCCTCAGCACAGAACTTAACAAATAACTGACAGCAGGCTTGCCAGTTAGGGAAGAGAATTACTTTCCTACTAGGGAAGGAACAGGCAAGTGGAATTGGGTGTGAGAAAAACAGAGTGAAAAAAGGAAAGAGGAAGAAACTGGTAGAGAGAGAGACAAAAAACTGGAAGGGGCAACAAGGGGAATCAGTTTCTCTCCACAGATATCAGAAATAGAAGGTTTCATAGGAAGCTTTATGCTGAGGAATTCACCCACAAATTCATCTCCCTTCCAGCTCTAAAATTTTTATACTTCTACAGAATGTCACGTTCCCCGCCTTTGCATTTCACTGTGATCCCACCGCAACAAAAGGTTTTCCTCAGCGACCCAAGAGTTTAGGCTGCAAAGTGCACACACTCCACACTACAGGTAAAGTCTTACATGAGTTATCCAAACTGTTTGAAACAAGGAACCAAATTTTCAGCTCATATCTCTCTCTCTATCAGCAAATAGTAATTTAAAGCCATTTTTCAGGACTGTGGTTCCCCAGTGACAGACTGTGGAACTATTAAAATTAATCCTGACAGAATATCCTTGCTGCTTTCTCCAAGCACATTCAGGCCGTTGGTTTATGAACAGGATGAACAGACGGCCCATCCCAGAGGGCTTGAGGGAGGAAGCACGTTAAAATGGCTGCCTCCATTTTTGTTTGCTCAGCTGCTTGGAAAAACTAAGACTGAGGGAGATGGGATTAATCAAGGGGGCAGTTGCCCATGGAAAAAAAATAGGAAGACTCTGGTGAGAAAATCCCAGCCAAATAAGGTTCAAGTCAAAGAAAAAGAACACTTTTCCCTTCAGACTTTCACATGGTTGAGTGTTGTTTGGTGACAAATTTCTCATTTCAGGCCACCACAGTGTTTGATGATATTTCTCTTAGCATGGAAAGAGATAATTCGGGGTGGGGGGGCGGAATTACTGATGCGCTAAAGTTCCAGGTGATTTTACTTTGTAATTAGCAACATTAATGAAGATTATTGGTTAGATATGTGACTGATGGTGATTAAATAACACCTCTCTGTGAATTTTATTTTTATGTCTATTCAGATCCTTCGCCCATTTTAAAGAAACACTTGTTTGTTTATTTGTTTGTTTGTCCTTTTGGCTGCACTGGGTCTTCATTGCTGCAAGCAGGTTTTCTCTAGTTGCGTCACACGGGTGACTTCTAGTCTCATTGGCGACTTCTCTTGTTGCCCAGCACAGGCTCTAGGCACTCGGGCTCCCATAGTTGTGGTACATGGGCTTAGCTACCCCGTGGCATGTGGAATCTTCCCAGACCAGGGATTGAACCGGTGTCTCTGCATTGGCAGGTAGATTCGTAAGCACTAGACCACCAGGGAAGTCCTTCCATGATTTTTCATATGAATAAACTCATAAACCAGAAAAAAAAAAAACCCTCCTTGAAAGAAAGCATCTACTCACTGCTATATTTAAGATACATATAACCCACAAGGACCTACTGTATAGCACATGGAACTCTGCTCATATATGTGACAGCCTGGATAGAAGGGGAGTTTGGGGAAGAATGGATACATGTGTATGTATCGCTGAGTCCCTTTGCTCTCCATCCGAAATGGTCACAACATTGTTTATTAGCTACACCCCAATACAAAATAAAAAGTTTAAACTTCAAAAAAATTACATTGAGATAATCATATGATTTTACTCCTATATTCTTTCAATATCGTACATTTTTATTAATTTTTAAATATTAAACCACCCTTGAATTCATCTTGAAAAGAAGAAAGCATGTGCTGATATGTGTTATAGAATATACAGATGTTGTAGCTGAGGCTCCTCCTCTCCCATTAGGAGAA